GTAGCAATCGCCGGTGATCACTCCGCTGGCGTCGTTGCAGTAGGATCCGCCGGGGCAGGCCCGCCAGTACGGGGAACCCTCTGGACAGTACTGGCCCGCAACGCACGGGCCACCTGGTTTTTTGGAGGCGCGATGCTTAAGTGTGGTGTTGCGTGGATTCAGGAATGGAAGCAGGGTCGTCGTGCTTGCCTAGTGGCGTGCACACTCATCAGTGACTCTTGGTGCGGGAGCGTGCAGGATGGATGTGAAGTGGCTACTTTATTGTATCATGACGCCTACGGTGTGGGGCGTATTCCGGTACGCGAGCTACATGTAGCTCTACGGCCATCGACAAACGAGCACTTGCCTGCCTCTGTTCCTGCTGCTACCGGTACTGCTACTCCCCACCTGTGTCGCATATCCCCTCCACTGTTTCGACGCAGGACGGTGTAGCTGAAGATGACCCGCCCGAGCAATAGAAACCCTCGTTGCACCTGCCGTGCCGCGCCACCATTTACGCAACCCCAAGGTATTGGATACGAAGCAGTCATCAAAGCCAAGTGGCGTGCGTCCGTGAACAGAGCGTATTGAAGGAGTTCGTGATCGCTTCTCTTGATTCCGCACCCGCAACAATATCAACATACCCTGGGCCTTGTCTTTGTCTAGTCGCTGCCAATGTAGAGCGGCTTGGTTTCATTTTTGCTTTCGTCGGTGAGTTTCTGGTGATATGTACTGTACCAAGGAGTAATGTCGCCACCTCATTTGTGTCCGCGCTACCTTTCTCGCCAAAATGCCAACTCCTCGCAGCGCACGCACAATCACATTCTACACGGACCGCAAGAGTCAAGGCACTATTGGACGGTCTGGAACGACATACTCCCTCCCGTGGAAAAAGGGTGCCACTGTGTGTCGGTTCTCACCTGCCGGACACGGCCTGGCTCGCCGATCCAGCCACGTACCACCCCGCGGGAGCATCGACACAGTTTTCCTCGGAAGACGTCATGATCGTGCTGGCATACGTCCCGGGGGGGCAAGGATGCTCGGTCGCGAACGTCGTGCCTTCGGGGCAAAAGTATCTAAAAGTGTGGCACAAAACACGATGGGTACACAATGAAAGGTGTTGGGAGGGAACACACTTTCCTCCAACGTTCCTCTGTCGCACGCTCTACCCCAACGAGGTGCTTCGACTAAGGAGTGCGTAGGCCAGGTATGGGTGTGTCGTCGGATACGACTGAACAGATAAAATAAGTTGCCGTCATAATAAAGTTCGAGTTATTTTGCGTTTTCGGGTCTTGTTGCCATGCTGCGTGACGGTAGAAAGGCAGTCACAGGAGCGTATTGAGCATATCCCGCGCATGTACACTTCCGCATATCTTAGGGCGCACGAGATAATGTATTTGGGACGCCATAGACCTTCCAAGACATCGTCATATGAACAGCTCAGAGTTCAAAAACAGCAACGACACACCTGTCAGACAGCTTATTGTAGCCGAAATCAAACCATTGGACTAGTCAGCGTTCATTGGTCTAATGGTTTGATTTCGGCTTCTAGCTGACTAGTCTAACGGTTTGATTTCGGCTTCTGGCTGACTAGTCTAATGGTTTGATTTCGGCTTTTAGCTGACTAGTCTTCATGGTTTGATTTCGGCTTCAACTAGCTGCACCCACCCAGCGGGACATGGAGTGCTGTCGTACGCTGTTGCATTGGCCTCGCAATAATACCCGGCGGGACAAGCAAAGCACTCCTCCTGCCCCTCTAGATCGTTGTAGGTTCCCGCGAGGCATGGCAGGGGGGTTGCGGTACCATTGCCGCAGTACGTCCCGACCGGGCATAGGTCTCCTCCGTGTTCCACCTGTTGTGTATACAAGGGGTAAAAGCACAACCTCGCTTTACTCCACATCGGCAGCCAAGTATACTAACTTCATTTCGACACGTTCATTGCCCAACACTCACCCCGGACTCGATGGTGATGCCGGTAGTTGGAGCGGCCGTGTCGACCTTTCGCTTGCAGTAGTGCCCGCTGTGACACGGACCGGTTGGCTCGACAAGCCCGGTGGTCTCGCAATAGTAGCCGTCGGAACAGGCCGTGCAGTCCTGATGATGTGAGAGATTTGAATGGTCTACGTGGTCGGGGCGTCGGACTGAACGATTTGACGACCGAGTTCACGAGCAGATGAGGGTAGCAGGAGGCGGAAACATCGCTCAGCGATATCATCTGAACCTAAACTGAACCCAACAGCTGGCCTGACCCTAGGCAAAATCCCTCGGAACAGTCACGTACCTCTACCGCTCTCTTCTGCGTTGAAGGGTTATATGTCCCCACTATACATGCTTCCGGCGTAGATACCCCGGCCGGGCAATAGAAACCTGCTGGGCAGATGTGGCTCGTGGTTTCCCCTATTTTTCCGAGCGAGTCCTGGCACAGCAGCGATTTAGGGAACACGACACGAACGATATACGACATTTATATCATTTGGAGGTGGGAATGTTAAACAATCTGACATCTGGATGAGGCAGAAGGGGAAGAAGGACTGTCACGACGAGAGAGTATTGATTTTTGGAAATCTTGAGGGGTCGGGCGTTGGGCGCGACGCGCTATTCGATTTCCTCGGGAACGCCCGCTGCATACGTAGCATTAACGGTGCCCCGTTGCAACAACATCCGCCCGCTACAGGAGTCGTGGTGTTCTCAAGTCCTCCTTACATCCACGTACAGGGCTCCGTTAAGAAAAACACCCGTGGCATTGAACTAAGCCTTCCCGAAAATACCCCTTTAATCTCAAAACCCTCGGTACCACCCACACCACCTCCCTCCTATGACGACCTCGGTACACACCTCCGATCCCGCGGGGCAATAGTAGCCTTCGGCGCAGGGTCCCTCAACAGCGGTGAGGCCCGTTTCGGAGCAGAAGTACCCCGGGGTACACGCTGTACACTCGCTCTCGAAACCAAGCCCTGCCTGCGCGCCGTATGTCCCTATAAGAGAGGAGTATTGATTTGTGGACGGGCATGGCAGCGAGCCGTATTCCGAGCTTTCAAGGTGTGTGGTAAGTGGGGCATGATCAGGAAAGTTGTTAAACAGGGGGCGTGTCGTTGGGCAGAACCGAGAAGGGCACCCACATGTAGCTATGCTGTATTCATGGCCACGAGGAAACAACACATATACTACCTTCGGAAGTCCATTCTGGCGTACTGCCATCGTGCTCCACAACCAAGCGATCCGGCGGGAGTTGCCACAATCGGCACGGTGTAAGCATGCCGTGTTCAGAAAACTACAGATTGGACTAGACGCGCGTAGGTGTTGAACACGGAAGGGCATGAACGGCGAAATATGAAGGCTTTTGCTCTTGCTCGGTTTCGTGCGGCATGTCGGACGATTTCCAAGTGTGGTGTACTTGACGTCACTCCCCCCCTCGCTGTCCAGCCTGATAGACCCTCTGGACGTTTTCGCCAGTCTTTGCTGGGGTGTTCGTCTATGAACATGGTAGCCTTCTACATGGTGGTTTTCTTACCCACGGGGCAGTTGGTCGGGACGTCTGTGCCAGTCTCGCAATATCGGCCGATCGGACACTCTTCATATCCCCGGGGTAGGCTACCGTCACAGTAGTACCGCTCGGGGCAGTCAAAGCACTCAGCGGCACCAGTGTTGTTCATGTATGTTCCTAATCAAGGAAAGGATGATTGAGAGCAGAGCAATGAGCGCATGTTGGTGCATGAAGCGAAAAGGCGCAAAGGTAAGGGAGAAACCGGGAGGAGCGGAGACGATTAGGCAGAGGTGAGAATTGGGGGGGCGAGACAGGGCACATGCATTGACCTAGCGTTGCAGAGCCCACATCGAATACCCGCTGTCGCTTTCGCTGAAGGAACATTGTGCTTCGTAGCGATCGATGTACGGCTTCCATGACGCTACTGTATCTCGATGCTAATTTCAATGTTTTCCGCAGGAAGCCTTACCCGGTGGACACACAATAGGGTCAGAAGTTCCCATCGGGCAGTAGTGGCCCGCCGGGCATACCCCGAACGTGCACAGCCCCTCCCCGGCCTCACAGTACGGTAGAGGGTCCGACGCGCCGAGCTTGCAGAAGTAGCCCTCCGCGCATAGCATGTCGGGGCTTGTGAGTCCCGTGGAATTGCAGGTTTTGCCAGCCGGACAGAGGGTGCAGTACGTCTGGTAGGGAGCGCCGGTGATGGTGTTGTTCGCCCAGTGGTTGCCGTCGTTTCCCTGGAATGTAACGGAAACATGAGTTTTAGATGAAACCACATGTACATACATGCATGTGTAAATTGTTTGTCGTGTTGTTTTGGTAGATGAATTTATCGCAAGATGGGACACGACGCAGGGGGTGGTTGTTGCTACCGTCGTCTCCCCTCATGCCCTGTCACCCCGGTGGAATTTTGCCAATGTGCGGAGATGGCAAGGATGGAGCATAGGGCGAAAAGGACGCGGGGGACGAAAGGTGAAGCGATCGCTCCTTCTTTTGCCACTTCGCGAGGATGCCCCATGGTGGACTTCTACGCTTCGGGCAAAGTGCAACGTTCGCCGACTACTGGACTCCGTGACTGTTGTTTGCGTCGACAGGTTGAATCTTTTCAACTTTCAAATCTACCTGGGCTCCGAAGTATGTTCCAAGGGGACAGGGCACCGGCCAAGGTGAGCCTTCTTCACAGTAGTGCCCAGCAGAACACTCGTCGCCATAGACTTGGTCTACCGGGTTGCTGAGAATGGCTCCGCCGCTGCAGTAATAACCGGCCTCACAGTCACCGGTGGGCTCCGTCAAACCGTTGTAAGCGCAGTACCTTCGTGCGACGTGTGTGAAAATTGAATAACCCACCTCAGGTAATGATTACAACAATAGCCAACTGTAGGCAGCAGCGACCAACCCAGGCGACAGCGGCGACGATGACGACGACGACGGATGTCATTTTTCCATGCAATGTGAATAACTTTTTGTGCGTCTCTCTCTCTCTCTCTCTCTCTCTCTCTCTCTCTTCTCTAGTCTCTCTTCTCTAGTCTCTCTTCTCTAGTCTCTCTTCTCTAGTCTCTCTTCTCTCTTCCTTTCCGCGCCTCTCTTCCACTCTCCCTCCTGTTTGTCACTCCTGTTTGTCACAAGACTCACTTTCCCTGTGTGCAGGTCGTACACCCCGACTCGAGCTGCACCGCCAACTCGTTCGAGAAGGTTCCGGAAGGACACAATATTGCAACGTCGCTTCCGACCGGACAATAGCTGCCAACTGGGCATACCGTCGGCGTGATGGTGGCCTGGTCCGGGCAATAGTAGCCCGCTGTACAATCGAGGCAACTTTCTTGAGACTCCTGTAGTAAGGGGATTGGGGGCGGAGACGTGAACCATAGTTCAAAAGGGCTTATTGTGGCGTGCTCATCTAGACATCGAGTCGAAAATCACTCTGTGAACACGGCGCTGTAGTGCATCATGTTGCAGTTGGGCGGCACGATTGAATACCACGACATTGGACCTGTCAATGAGTGCAGAATGTGTCGATGATGGCGCCCAAAGCAACACGTGTTACAATCCTACAACTCACCTCGTTATTATACGTTCCAGGCTCACACGGATACTGAACAGCAGCCCCAACAGGGGCATAGTATCCCCTGTCCGTCCGGTTCTGGGTGGGGGTCGAGGCACCTCCTGTGCAATAGTGGCCCGCGTAACACCCGCCGGTCGGGGCCGGGTTACTCGTACCAGAGCAGTAGAAGCCAGGGGGGCAGTCGGAACAGTCGGCCGGGTCGGCCGCTCCGGAGAAGTTGTTGTAAGTGCCATGCGGGCAAGGCTGCTGGTACGAAGATCCGATAGGGCAGTACCCCCCAGCTGGTTTGATCGTGTTGAGATTGTGCGAGTTTGCGCCGCATTTGTTGGCATTCACGACGCGGTGACAACGAGATTCAGGTAAGATAACAGTTAGCATGACTTGGTAAGCCCACGCCCTTTGTCCCTCTGTCTGGGCACGTGCGGCGAGATTCACAATGAGGATTTCGTAAGGCAGAGCTGTGGTATGGAATAGCCCAATAAAACGCATCAACTTTCAGTATCGGCACAAAGGCCCTCCTTTTTTTCTCTTGGTACGATATGCACTCACCAGACAATCCGGTGCGGGCTTCATTTACGCAATGGCTGACAAAAGTAGAAAGGATGGGGCATATGCCGCATGTCGACACGTACGGTTAAACGTTGTCCTCGACAAACACAGACGAACTTGCTCTCGCATCTTTTCGATGTGTACCTAGCTTGATGTTCGAACTCCCCCTCTTTGCCCTACCCCACACCTCACCGGGACAGAGGCCGCCGATATCGGTGTCCTCGATAGACAGCGGAGACCCTGGCGCGTTTGGTGCGCTCGTGTACGAACCGTCCAGGCAGTAGTACCCCGGATCGCAAAGGCCGGCCGGGTTAGTCAGGCCGCGCTGGTCGCAGTAGCTACCCGGATCACAATCGTTGCAATCTGATATTTTTCTTAGGCCGGTGGTGTTCCCGTAGGTTCCCAAGGGGCAGGGCTCCGGCTCCGCAACCCCTGGAGTTGTACGACGAGGGTGAAGGGGAGTTTTTTCGTGATTCAAGGCATGCGAGGCAGGCGGGGGGGGTAAGCTCCGTTTTCTCGGTGTGCTCGTTCTGATTGATCCAGGGAGAGGAAGCAGAGCGTTGTGACTGCTCTAGAAACATCGTGTCCACCCAACAGTCGAAACAGCTCACCATGCACACAGTAGAACCCGCGGGGGCAATCGATGGGCTCTGTCGATCCGGATGGGCAGTACCCTCCAGAAACACAATAAGCGCAGTCATCCTGGCTGCCAGCACCAGAGGAGCTTCGGTAGAATCGTTCGGGGCACGGTACCTGGTGAAATATTGCAATCGGACAAAAGTGCGTTGGCACATGCCGGACCAGAGTGTAAGCGGCGTGCATACATGCAACGGTAATCGCGTTTTCGTCCAGGGAAGGGTGCCTACGTTCGTAGCACCAACGAGTCAACCAACGCCCCAAAGCGTGCATGTACTATCTATCTAAACACACCTGCTGCGGCCCTGTTGATCCAGCCGGACAATAGTATCCCGGATCGCAAGCCCCTGTCATGTTCGTGGACGCCTCTATGGTATAGTACCCCTCCAGCGAGATGAGACAATCCTCTTCCAGGTCGTCTCTTCCGGTGTGGGGATTGTACGTGCCCGAAGGGCAGGGGTATGGGGATGAAACTCCCGCGGGACAGTAGTGTCCCGCCGGGCAAGCGTAGCGGGCTAGGTCTGTCCGTTTTCGATTCGTCCATCCGTTCGGTCCGTCGGGTGTGGCAAATTGTGGAAGGGTCGGAAAAGAAACAAATGAAGGTTCCAGAGGGAGGTCAATAACAAGAAGCACGGAACAAGAAGAGTCCTGAAGCATGGACAATCGCGAGGATAACGCATTCGAACGTACTGCTGTACAAGATCACTTTCAGCCTTGGCCCTTATTTGATTGCTAGTACTGGCGAAATAACACCCCCTTCCACGCGTGACCGGTGGCCGTCGTACCTGGGGCGCGCGTCATCCCCGCCGCGCAGTACGTTCCGTTGAAGCACATCCCGGAGCTGTGGGACGACAGGTCCCAGCTGCCTGCACCCGTGATCATATCCACCGCACTGGTCTCGTTGCTGCCACAGTAGTGGCCGGCCTCGCATACAGAGCACGCGTCAGCCCCCGAGCTGGAATACATACCTGGGCGAAAACGAACGCATGACCAACGGTTCAGATATTCACAACGAGCAAGTAGTGGTTCCAGGGGAGGTGCCTTCCGGTCGCCACAGCAATTGAAGCATTTAGGCTGTGCCTCGCTGGACCCGAGTCGCTGGATGATGGTACTACGTAAATGATCGAGAATGACGTAACAGCCTTACGGTTGTCCAACAGTGATATACGCCTATATGCGAGAGACCGAACACCATGCGGTGAGAACGAAACCGTCACTATTTTCCACCACTTCTACCATCGTAGCAGGGCCCACGAAAATCACGTGTGCTTGAACTACTCAACAAGGCAGGCACAACAGTGATTCAATGAGGCCGTCACAGCGGTAAGCGGGATGCGTATGTTAACGTATCGCACACCGTTGATTTCACCGTCGAAAGCGCATGTCACAACAACAACAACGACAACAACAATAAGTAAACCAGAGACATATTTTCGCCTGGCCGTCACCCGGCATCACAGGCAAACACGCAAGCATGCATATCTTGAAAGTCGCAATGCACTCGTTTGCTGCTATTGGAGTATCGACACGGCGGTGCGGGTGAATACCGATGCACCGCTGGCTTTGGGGAAGGATGATTGCAGTGTTTGTGCTCCCCAAACTCACCAACCCCGCACGCTACAGGATTCACCGATGCTTCCACGCAATAGCTTCCAGCAGGACAGACCGTGCAGCTCGGGAATGAGTCCGGACCCGCGTCCTGGTTTGAAGCAATGTCGAGATAGTGCGTACGGTGGTGAGATTCTTCGCGACATAGCGGTGCGTCGACCACATTTATTCAAAACGAGTATCTCTTCAGGTACTCATTACGTAAAACCCCACTTGTTTCATAGGCCTTGATGAAACACCCTACATGATATGATCGGTTGTGTGGGGTAGATGTCATCTGTGGTGAATCGTGCGTGTATCCACATTGTGTCTGAGAAAGGGAACACGTTCTTTACGACATCTCTCAATGTCCAACAACAAATCCCGACATCCTAAACGCCGATTCATCTATACACTGCTACAAGGACGTGCATCAATGCATGTTTTTTCTGGTGTATGTGTTATGTACGTAAGACTTCATGCCTTCAGTGGACTGTTTCTTATGAAGAATTATTGATTTCTCACACTCATGGTTCTTCACCCTCTACAACTTCGTGTTGAGCTCCGGACATAAGTGCTCGTCGGGTTGATGTGGCTGTATATTTCTGTGAACGCCCTGCTTGCTTTATGAAAATTATTTCAGATTAAGCTTGCCAACAAATTTGACTGACCTCGGTGGCGTTGTACGGGCTGAAAGTTCCCGCCGGGCACGGTTCGATCTGCGTTGATGCTTCTGGGCAGTAGAACCTTCAGGACGCGAAAGTTGAGACGATATGGGGCAAAACGAGACAATGGCATGGATGTACATCGGTTTGATTTGGCTCCAGCCTCTATCGCCGTGTTTTGTGACGAACTATTTAAACAGATCACAATCAAAACAGATAAATGAACTTATGTATAGGCATGACACGGACCGCTTACCCAGGTGGGCAGTCCTCGCACTGTGCCTCGAGGTACAGCGAGGTCGAGTCTGAGAAAGTTCCCGCGGGGCAGGGAAAGTCCGTCGCCGCTGCAGTCCGCAGAGGACAGTAGTACCCGGCCTGGCAAGGGTGATTTCAAGCGATGTCATGTAACTTGCTGACGTCAGCAAGTCGGGCAGACCAAACACCTGAGGGGCTTATCCCAAGTTCTCGAGCGACCTGTGGATGGGGTTTCTAGCTATGCTTGAAGTGGAATACCAACAGTTGGAGTCCTCACTCCCCGGCAAAAACAACTCACCTCACATGGTCCGTCCGGCTCGGGTGAGCCGCTGCCACCGCACCACTCGCCAAGAGGGCACGGGTAGCATTCCGAGTCGGCGGCGAGATCCGTACGGTTTGTGAAAGACCCCGCGGAGCAAGGGTACGACGTCCTAGTGGGTGTGTTTTCCGGGCACCAGTGGCCCTCGCCGCAGGGGGACCAGTCGTTGGAGGTCGATCCGGAGAAGCACGCAAATCGCTCAGGGCAGTCGCTGTAGTGTTCAATCGAATAGAGTTGGATGTTTACTACGCGCTTGTTCTGTTGCATGCTAGTGCTCAGTCACATGGGGCAAAAGTCAACCGTGTAGGTAGGATGGATATCTTCGCCTTCGTCAATGACTAGAGTCTTGGGGTTTTCCCTCGATGTTATTAATTAAGGTATGCGTACAAATTCACAGAACATTCACGACGTGCCATGATTTTTCCATTCGGTAATCATTCTTCAAACTTGTTTGGATCGACACAAACGCTATCGCGTTACAGAGGGTATTATGTTACCGGGTGGGCATAACGCTTTTGTGAAAACCAAACCCCAACGGCAATATTCTACAAATATATTTCGTTCCTTGGCCACATTGTTCGCATTTCTACAACCGAGGAAGATGGGCGAAAACACGCCGTAACCTGTTTGGTAGCTAAGGGAATGTAGAGAACTTTACCCGAGGAGACTGACCTGCACTGGGTTGCAGATGTGAGGTTTGTTTCGTCCGTGTACGTCCCAGCGGGACACGGGTACTGGTCGGCGTACGAAGTCCCCTTAGGGCAATAGTGTCCTGGGTCACACCTGCCAATGTTGCGACGAGAACATTACCGTCACAAATGCCGAGAGACATGAAATGGAAGCGCTGCCAGGCCTTGACGCAGGCAGTTAAGGGCTCCGCGTGAATTTCTCGACGTTAAGCGGCAAAATAGTTCCGAAAACAACCACTTTGGAAGTCGAACTCCATGTCCTATCTACAACCCGACACTCACAGCGTGGTCATCACAGACATGGCGGCAGACTCGCACGCCCACCCAGGCTCGCACTGCTGGCACGCACTGGGACTTGTCGCGCCCTCAGACGGCTGATAGGTGCCCGGCAAGCAGTTCGTCGGGGACGTGGAGCCCGCCAAACAGTAGGTGCCGATCGGGCAAATTGAGCACTGGGAGCTCAACGTGTTGCCCGTCGCTCCCGAGTAGGTACCCTCGGGACAGGGATAGGAGGTGGAAGAGGGCGTGTTCACCGGGCAGTAGTATCCCGCCGGGCAAGGCTTCGACGTGGCTGAACTGGAACCGCTTGTGCAGTAGTACCCAGCATCGCATTCTGAGGGATGTTATGGCACAGTTGAGGGCGAAAGGGCGAAGGGTGATTCATGGCTTCGAACGTTCTCGCCGTTGTCAACATCTAGCTGGTTGCAGCTGGCGTGTGCTTGAATGCTTTCTTCTCTGCTCAATTCGAAAACCTGCTCGCGTGGGTAGCAAACTTGGTCAGCAGCTCGTTTGGAACGCAGAACGCAGGTAAATCAGCGCGTTACGTCACTTGAGGAATAACAATGTGGTGACCTTTCCACGCGATGCAGTAGCCAGGAAATACACCAAGGAGGAAAGCGGGACTCTGCGGTTACAGCCCGGCCGCATTTATGCACGAAGAAGGAGATGACTGATAATATTTCGTTTATCCACAGCGTTGCCTACAGCACAAACGTAAGGAATATACCTTGGCACGCGTTGCTCGACCATGCCCCGGTGCTGGCGCTGTACATGCCAGCTGCGCAGGCGGACGGAGAGGAGGACCCCACGGGGCAGTAGTGGCCCGCCGGGCAGACCGTGCGGGTCGCCAGCGTGTTCCCTGTGTCGGTGCAGTAGTACCCCTCTGTGCAAGCCTGGCAACCCTCTTCCAGGCTTGCGGCGGCGGTAACGTTGCCTGTTGAAAAAGAGACGGCGACAAAACACAACTCTCGCTTTTGGAATCTGTGTTGCAGAAGAAGCACTTGTAAACGGTCTTTCCCGTACCACATAACCAGAAGGATGGCACATCATTCGTTCACTGAAACAGCATGGCAGGGTTGTGCGCCGCATATCACACTCTCCGACAAACTCGCCAGTGATAGCGCCGTCACCAACGTTGCGCATATCCTACGGGCAGGTACGCGCCTGCTCAAGCATTTAGAAGCGCAGGCACAGTGAATAAGCACACATCGCTATCCAATGGTTTCAGGTAGAACCATGTATTTGTTTCGTGTCTCCGCCGAAGGGCGTTTCTGCTTTCTGCGCGTACACGCACGAAATACCCCTATGACCCCGTCTTGCCGAAACTGTACATACATGGTTGTGCTTGAACATCTCAACGTTTTTTTGTCGTTCGCCGCGCAACGTTCAGGACACGTAACAACCTTGAACAACTTTGATATGGCGTCCTTTTCGAAGAGCGGCTTTACCATAGGTTCCCGCTGGACACTCGAGAAGGGTCCGCGCAGGGTTGCAGTAGGTGCCCTCAGGACACTCCGAACCGGTGGGAGTCGCGCTGACAGAGGCCTCGGGGCAGCGGTACCCAGGCTGGCAGGCCGAGCAAACTGCGGTGCCGCCTCCGCTGTAGTATCCGACCTCGCACGGCTGGGGAAGGGCCTCGGGGTCGTCGCAGAAGTAACCGGCAGGGCAGGACGTGCAGTTGGTTGAGGCGGCGGTGCTGCTCGCGCCGTCGCGTGGTGCGTCGTGAAGAAATAGGTTAGGGAAGGGGAACGGGATACCTAAGAGGGGGGTCGCTGGGACGTTTGGCGAACTTGTGGTAGAAGCCGAACCGCAAGCATACAAAGGATTTCAGCGCTTTCCGAAAGAGACAAGCCAAACACAACGTACCTGTAGTAGCCGGGGTCGCAGGCGATGGGGCTGTCCTTCGCGAGCGGGCAGCGATAGCCCGCCGGACATTTGGTGCACAAAGGTTCTCCGAGAAGGCTGTAGTACCCCGGACCGCAGGCTTCCATTTGGTTGGTGGACGTAGAACTGATAGATTTCGTTGTCGAAGACGCCAACATTGGCAAGCCACACCCGAGCAACAGCAAAAGGAGCAACAGGTCAACAGCAACAAAAAATCAGTCTTGAGTCAAGCAGGACAAACAAAGGGAAGAGTAAGGCCAGGTAAAGGAACGAAGCAAAGCGGAAAATATGGAGTTGTGCATCGATTGGATTGGCCCGGAATGGTGCTCGATAGAGATCGTAGACCTCGCAGTGCTACCGCGGTGCCATCGACATCGTCGCGGTCAAAACGATCGAAAAGGCAGTCATGGTCGAGCTTCCCAGGATGACCTACCAGTGGAAGTTCCGGGGTGAGGTTGCTTCTTTTGCGACATGTACGCACAGAAGTACCTGCAAGTGAATCCAGCGGGGCAATCCGTGCATACGTGCTTGCCCCCCACCGCAAATGTCCCGGACAAGCACGGGAGATCTTGGTCGCTGTCTTGGTAGGGGCAGTAGTATCCGGCCTGGCACGGCGTGCACGATTGAGAGTGCCCCAAAGAGTACGATCCCTCGGGACAAGCGAAAACCGTCGCCTAGGTTGGAGACGGTAGCAGAAGGAACGAAGGAAGAGAGGTCAGGAGAAACATTGACATGAGGGGCGTATGGCAAATTTCTGAACGAATCACGGCGTATTCGCTCACTAGGGCAGAAGTGGAAGAAGGGGGAAGCGGTAACAGAGACAACACAAACGCTGTGCTCGACTCAAACATTGTTCTTTCGACGAGAACGCCTGTGTTTTATGGTTTTTGCCCTATGCAAAAGTTCCCCAATCGATGCATTTTTGTCGATCGAGCTTCTCAAGTCGTCCCTGTCAATTTTGTCATCTACCGCCCACGGACGGGCAGCACTGACACTACCGCCTACAGTTTTTCAATGGCGTCATCTCGCCTGTTCGTCATCGTCGCTACCGTTTTGCTAGCTCTTGACCTACGTTCGTCGTGTACGGGCAGTAGCTCCCCGCTGGGCATGCCACGCACTCCATCGCCCCGGCCTGCGAGTAGTATCCCGCCTCGCACGCCACGAGACCAGTCCCGTCCGCTGCGCACGTGAAACCCGCGTCACAGGCCGTGCAGTTGCTCGCCCCGCCGGTCGAGTAGGTACCGTCGGGGCACGGTAGCTCTGCGTCCACCGTTTTGAGGGGGCAGTAGTAACCGGGAGGGCAGATCTCGCACGAGCTGGCATCTCCCGTGGAATAGGTTCCGTCCGGACATTCGTAGAACTCCGCGGCTTCCGTGTTCGGGCAGTAATACCCCGGGGGGCACGAGGTGCAGTTGGTCGCAAGGCCCACTGAAAAGGTTCCAGGGCTGCAGGAAATATAGCCTGTGGCGGTGGTTGGGCACGCAGCGCCGGCCGGGCACGCGGTGCAGCTCACGGTGGCACCTTCGCTGTAGTAGCCCCCCGGGCAGTCCTGCGGCGGCATTTCCGCGGAAGGGCAGTAACTCCCGGCAGGGCACCTGCCGATTTTGAGGGTGATGGCGCGAGCGGGGTCGCACGAGGGGGGTTGGGGAGCATGGGAGCAGTGAGGAACAGTGAGGAACAGTGAGGGACAGGCCGAGGAGGGCGTCACCGGAAGGGATAGGGCGGGGGTCGGCATGGCTAGGGCGAGGGGGATTCTACGAGAATTGAAGGGTATCGTGGTACTTGTCATTATGCCTAAACTGTCGGTGTGGCGTTTAGGCGGGCCTCTGAGGGTGCGCCTCCGCCTCGTCGGGGCTACGCGGGGGCATGGTTTGGGATTGTCCTCGTGGGAAATCCAGTTGAAAAACATCAGAAACCACACCAGCGAACAGGACCTCAGGCACAAAAACAACCATCAGCTGTCCAAGTTGAATCAAAAGCACCATCATATGCATATTAAGGCGAATAACCAACGCGAACACGGCGGCCGGTTTTCGGGCGTCGGCGTCGGGAAGACGTCTGACGGTGCCCATAAGATGGGAAGACTTTCGACTTACTCGTTACAGGCTGTCATGTTGCCGACGTAAGCGTAGTAGCCGTTCGGGCACGCCACGGGGGCAAGAGTGGCATCCGGACAGAAGTGGCCCTTCGGGCACTGTGAGCACGAGCTCGCCCCGCTCTCAGAGTACGTTCCCTGCGGGCATGAAGCCTTCGACTCCTCGTCGCGGGGAGGCCCGGGGCAGTACGAGCCGGCCGGGCAGACGGTGCACGCGGTGGCACCCTCGGCGGAGTAGTAACCGTCGGAGCAAGCGACGGGCAAGTCCGAGGGGGTCGCGCAAGAGGAGCCGCCGGAACACACCGTGCAGTTCGCGGATCCACTGCAGCATGATGAGACCGGCGGAGTTGAGGGAGGGAACGGTTGGTGTGTGGTGTCACGTGGGGTCGAGCGAGGGTGGGAAATGAGAGCTATCCCGTGGCAACTGGAGAGGGGATTGAAACGTCATCAGCACGGTCGCGGTTAGGTTTACATTTAGAAGGTTTACAGAAACGGGGTTCGGTCGGTGCAGCGTCAGAAGCTTGAGGATCTGGGTGGACAACAAAAGATATCCTGGAGAGAAGACTACGCTGTGGCGCACAAGTAGTTCTGAACGGCAAACTTGTGATGAAAGCTCCCCTTCACCTATCCTATTCCTTAGTGTCAACCCTGCCTTCTAATCCTACTCGTGCCCGAGCTTCGCGTGATACGGGCCGAAGCTACCCTTAGTAGCCCTTCTTACTGAGTAGAGCCCGCTAAGCAAGCTAGAGGGTCATCTTCCAGGGGGTCACACAATCAGGAGTTGGTGTTCTTCCTCATACACTGTTGCTTGTCTCTTCTCTCTCTACTTACGCTGTGGAGTATGTGCCGGCACCACACGCCTTCGCCACAGTGAACGGCGAGGGGCAGAAAGACCCCGCGGGGCACTCGGTGCACGTGATGGCGTTCCCCGTGCTATAGAAGCCTTCGTCGCACAACACCGGCCCTAACGTGGGGTCCGAGCACTCGTACCCGGCGGGGCAAGCGATGCAGCGGTCGCGCAAGGAGTCCGTGTAGGTCCCAACGGAGCAGGCGATGCAAGCCTGCGTGCCACGCAAACATGGGAATTATTTGACAAAGTACCGCAAGGATCGCGCGGTGGTGAGGTATTCAGTTTGACCCACGAGCACGAAGAGATACTGAGAGAGACACCGAGAGAGTCGGAGAATCTCGAACACAAGCAACTTTAACAACCGAAAGTTCCCACGAGCGAGACTTCAACTAGCAATTACCGACTCAGACTCTCACCAGGCCCCCATTAGATGAATATCCTTCAGCGCACAGAGTTGGCGACGAGGTCGCCGGGTTGAGGCACGAGTATCCCGCAGGACAAGCCAAGCAGGACGACGCCCCTTCGTTGCTATACAGCCCCGCGTCGCAGTCAGAGCATATAGCCTGGCCGAGCATACTGAAAGTGCCGTTAGGGCACGTTACCGGCTCTGCAGAGACGTCGGTGCAGGACATCCCAGCGGGGCAGTTGGTGCACTCGATGGATCCGTCGACGGAGGAGTACGTTCCGCTCGCGCACGCGGTGCAGGTTGTTGAGTCGCCCAAGGATGACGTGCCCGCCGAGCATGCGGTCGGCTCCTGTGGCAACATTGGGGGGGTTCCAATGCGTTCGGGAGGAAGTGGGGTAAGGCGGCGGGAGTTTGAGTGAAGCGACTGTGGTCTAATAGTCGTTGGGAGGCAACAGCAGACTTTCAGCAACGTTGCGCTCAACACGGGAATGTGAACATGCTGGGTGGTTTTTCATCTGGAATAAGCAACGAAACATTGAGGCGGACTGACCTGATCAGTGTTGATGCAATACGCTCCAGCTGGGCAAGCCACGCAGTACGCCCAGTTCTCTAGTGAATACGAGCCATTGGCGCAGACCTCTGGCGAACTTCCTGTGCTTGAGCAGTAGGATCCAGCCGGACATGACAAGCACTCGGTGGCGCCACCTTCGCTGTACGACCCCGACGAGCACTGGGTCGGTGCCGAGGCCTTGTTGGCACACGAGTAACCAGCTGGGCATTCCTGGCATGCCCCCTGCGCCTCGAGCGGGTTGTAGTAGCCGTCGGCACATTCCGAGCAGGTCAGGGCGCCGGCGCTGGCGAACTCGCCGGCGGGGCATGCAACCGGGGCTGCCGCCGCCGAGCTGCAATAGTAACCAGCCTCGCACGGGGAGCAAGCAGCCGAGCCTTCCTCGGAGCTGTAGTATCCGTCAGGGCATGCCTCGCAGTCGTTTGGGTCGGACGAGCCGTACGCCGCTAGGGAAGTCCCGGCAGGGCAGGCGACAGGGTCGTTGCAGTTGCCAGCACAGGAATACCCAGGGCTGCAGGAGGAGCACTCGTAGCTATCGACACAGGCAGAAGCCCACTCTCCAGGATCGCAACTTCTGTAGCACCCGTCGTCGTTGTCGTAGATCACCACAGATAGCTAATATCGGGTTGACGTTAGATCGATGACACGGGTTGGGTGCGGGGGGAAAAAATCGGCAAGGGGTGAATATTTTGTGTGTTTTTGTGCGATGCAGTTGTGCATGAGTGTGTAGAAGGATTATTTCTCACAACCACCGCACAGCCTCAGCCGCCCAATGCTGCAAAGGAGGCCACAGCTGCATAGTCTTAACAAACTCTAGTGTCGCGAGCAATACCTCAGAGGAGGGAAAGAACAACGGAGCAGTCCCATCGAACAGAGGGTCGCTGGAGGAAGCGGTGTGGCTAATGGTTGCTGTGTAAGACTCCGCCGTCTCGACAGCGTCGTCGGTTCCGGACACGGTGAAGGTCTGAGTGTCGTCCCAAGTCAATGAGGTGAAGGTTCGGCTCGCGGTCACGGTCACATACGCGTTCGACACGGCCGCAGCCACCTGCGTTGAGTGTTCAATTGCGTACGAGCGCAGCGGCGTGAGGAAGGGAGTCGGCACACAGCTGGTGTGATTTATAAAATGCGAGAACCGAAGTTCGTTTAGTTTCCTAGGCTCGTTGTCGTGTTTTCTATTGATCGTCGGGTACAGTTGTCTAGGCCTGCTTCCAGTTGCCTATGACGTGTTGTGCTATCTGCTTGGAGCTGTTCTGCGTGTTGCTTTGGCGATTTGGCACCGCCGCCTCTGAGACATGTGTTTGGTCTGGTTTAAGCGGTCTCCTACATAGTTCAAGCTCTTTCATGTGCGCGTGTAAATTCATGTAGGTAAATGTTCATGTCGTGTTCCAGGCAGGCGTTTTACGGTGGTGTTAAATAGTGCACCTAAGGTGCAACCAGACGATATTCTGCCACCATGGAAACAACCTGTTGACTAGGCGGCCACAGCACTGCTACAGAAAGGAACGCGTCGTACACCCTGACGCAAAAGTAATGCGGCGAGACAACACGTTGTACGCGACCCCTGCTTTCTCGTTGTGAAGTTTGTGCGAAGAGTCGGGTGACAATATTCGCAGCTAATACTGAATAAGCGGGCTTGTGCTGAAATTGAAGGCATTAGTACTGAGCGGTGAGATGGAGACCGTTCTGGCCGTGCCGTGTATTACCCTCCCGGACATTCAAGTTGAAGACAGCTTCCCCGCCATACCAGTTATTCCAAGATACCTGCTTCTCCAGAGAACTCGTCTCATGTGTTGTATTACACACAGAATAAACTTCAACGGTTTGGTGTTATCTGTTCTGGCCCGCACGTACCACCACGTCTTGAGAGGGCATGCCCATGAGTTTAACTTCGTATCCCGCGTCGCCACCCTCGTCGACGTACAGCGTGGACGTGGACACCACGATGCCAGCCTCGTCGTTGTCGTACACCCGCGCGGTCAGGTCAGCCCCTGGAGAAACGGCGCCGTTCCAAGTATACCCGCTGGAGACACTTACAGAGTGCGTGATCGTCGCCTCTTCCAAGGACTCAACGTCTCCGTCCTCTACAGCGGAGACTGTAACTGATTGGGCATCGCCATAATTTGAGTCATCAAATGACAGCTGAGATGCAGAGAGTAAGATATCGGAGGAGGCGGATGAAATGTCGACGGTGACGACAACGGTGGCGCCCGGGTCGGCGTCCAGGGAAACCGTGTAGGTGGCATCGGCTCCGCCTTCGGCGACGGACACCGTGGATTCGGAGAGCACCACGTTGGACGCGACGCCCACTTGTAGCTTCCGCCGTTGCTGCTGCTGTGGTGCGACCTCGTAGTCTGAGAAAGGATAAGAGAGTGGGCAGCGCGCAGACATTCAATTCGTATTGTGCAAGACGAACTGTCCCAGGCGGGTAAATTGTGCTTTATGCATTTGACTATCTCCGGTTTTCTCACCAGCACGGCTAAACGCTACGCGAATGGAAGCTTACGAAGATTCGGAAAAAACACGGCATTCTAGAGTCGCCGTAAACCGAGAAGACTTAGGCGGCACAACGTTAAATACAAAGCAAGCTGTAGAGACTCATGACGCAGCTACAAAGGCCACACAGTGCCCTAGACTTCTAAAACGGTTGGACTATAGCTGCCTCATTTCGCTCTTGCATACTCTACACATTGCGCACTCTGTCGAAGACATTGTTCAAGTTCTGCTGCACACTCGGTCGAAAAAGTAAACCATGGCATTCCTTCGTTCGAAAATGTATGTGACCGCAGCAATCAATGCTGTGACGGGAACGGAGATATAGGTGCTGAATTCCGGGAAGAAGGGCGGCCGCTCAGTACCATATGTAGTGGACTGGGCTTGCTGGTTAGCGCACCGTAGTCGTCGAACAAAGCCTCGCTTCAGAAGCTGTATCAAGCCGAAGTGCCCCAAATCAACTGTCTACTGTTTACCTACGAGGCAGTGGTGCTGCAATCCTCATGATATTGTCATGCCGAGTTTAGAGTCCTGTACAACCCACTACTCAGACGTTTTCTAGATCTCCTTACGGTAGGTCAGAACTTTTTGCTCAGGCGAGACTGCATAATTTATCAACGACCACAACTTCGACGGAGACGCTCCCAAAGTCATGTCCTCCTGCTCAAAACAATGACATGTGCGCTGCGCATTACTTCCGTTCTGCTGGAGGAAACACGCCACAGGGACAAGAAGGACAGCGACAAGATGCGCCTACGCGACTGAAGCAGCGTTTCTTGCTCCCACCTCCCTCGGAGGGTTGGTTGGAAGACCTGAACCATCCGAACCTCCCCCCTCCCAGACCATCCCGATCACCGCCCGCCTCAGCCTTTACACGCACTTCCACTGCGGCAACGCCGAGGTTCAATCTTGGTTGGTATCCGATAAGGAGTAGCAAGAGCGGCGAGGCAGCGAATAAGATTTGCCGAGCAATTCCTGAATGCTGTAGTCCCCTTCGCCCTGGAGGTCTTCGAGCCCCCGTATTTCCGCGTTGCCAAGGCGGTGGCTTCTGGCCGACGGCCATCGCGAGCACGTGAGAGATCAGCACGCGAGAGGTATGGTGGTGCCAATACGTGAGAGATCCTTTAGAGAAGATCATCTTTGTGTGTTTTTTCACGAAGGTTTCAGTGTGACGATCTGAAACGGCAAAACGCCTCTGACCGTCCTCTGGTACACCACAACCCGCCCCTCGTACAAAGGGATTTTTTTTGTCCCTTTTCCCTTCGACGAACCATATTTTTACGCCGCGGAGCCCCAACATGGCCGCACTGCTGCTTGTTCTCCATGTACAAGACGCCACATGCATTGGCAGATGTGCAGCTGCTAGTCGGGAGGGGGTGGGAGCAGTGAGTGCAGCTGACAACAACTCCAACAGGTTCATGTCATCCCGACCATACAGTCCAACCAAGATTAATGAGCATAAATTCCAGGTGTGTTTGCGTACTCCCATATAGGCATGCGACATGTTTCATTTTTTTAAGTGCTGCTAGAGTGTATCCGCCTCGCTGTTCCTCCAGACGGCACTGCTTGTCAATCTTTGGCCTCATTTCGGATACCTCCCTGCAACGACCAGCAGAGTCTGCAGCGCGTGTCACTCTTATCACAACCCCTCTCACAAGTGTTGAGAATTTTGGTTGTGTGTAGTTGTTGCAGTAGGCCAGAATGGTGGCCCCTGTCGCAGCATGTCGGTGTACGTGCACAATTACTTTTGTCACCTCGTGATGCACGGCTGTACCCAACTGGTCGGTCGCTGGCGGTGGTCCATTTGCAATCTCTCGGGAAGAACTCAGGCGGCAAAAGTAAGTTACAGCAGTAGATGGTCACGCCGATGTGATTCTTCGTGCCTCGATACCGAGATCCTCATGGGTACTGCTGTAGGTTTGGTCGTTGAAGACTGCTGAACCCCTTTTGGTAGAAAAAGAAAATCAAAAAACAACTTCGAACTCTCTCCCGTCGTTTTCGAACAGGGGGGGGGGGNCCATTGACCTCGCATCCCTACAAAGCCGGGACGGAGCACGCCGGGTTCTCACCGGACCAGGCTCTCACATCACCAAGCGCGAAACGCCTTGAGGTATTCGGCGTCATGAAGGGTGCGCTGCATCCTTCTAAGGGTGTTCAGCATCTTGTGCTTACTTCCTTGCGTACGGATTACAGCTGCGTATCACTTATTTTATTTTCTGGTGCTTTCACTTCCTGAGACAGTTGTAAGCACTGTGTAACTGTCTCGAGGATGCTTGACCATTTAACACCACGTGGTGCGATTGTCCCCCTTGCGCTCAGTGAGGTTTCTCCACCCTGCACAACATGATCTACTCGACCACCATATGATGTTGTTGTTGTTGTTGTTGTTGTTGTTGTTGTTGTTGTTGTTGTTGTTGTTGTTTCTCACATTAGCTCTAAAGTCCACAAAAAATGGGGAGCCCGTGGTCTCAAAACCCGGCACATACGACGCCGCGGGGAAACAAAACAAAAATAGGGTACAAACCACTCGGAAAAAGAAAACTAAATGATAGAAAGAAAAGGACAGCTACCGCACCGACCGTTCGAGAAAAGAGCCCTCGGAAACCGATCACAATAAAACAAAAACAAAAAGGGCAGTGGCCACAATACGGTATACCGTGCTGGAATGTGGTTAAACCACGATACAGGGTAGAACGGCATACAAACGAGGCTGAATGGAGCCACGTGATTGGTCGAAATGGGACCGCACCCTCCGGTGGCCAATATATCGGACGGTATACCTTGCAGAGGCCACTCAGCTCGCGAGGCCACCGTGTACGGTAACCACATGTACCGTGTTTTGGCCACCTCGAGCGAGGCTGTTCGCTCAACCGACCGACGCATGTCAGGCCTCTCGCCAACGCCCCGCCGGTGACGTGGACGCGCAGTGCACACGCGATCGCGGACAAACTTTTGGGATGGATGCATTCCTTCTCTCTTTCTCTCGCATCTCGCACACCACACAACCACAAATTATTCACACACCACACACCACACACGAGCACCATGAGCGCCGCCGGTGGGCCGCCGCCTGCACCACACCATCTCCTTGGACATACGAGTCTCTGCGTTTGTCTTTCGCGCTCAGCTCATTCTGCAGAGAGAGCCGTAGACATTGAGACTATCGCCCATACCGCCTCGCCTCGTTAAAAGGAGCTCATCAAGGTTAGGGCGTGTAAGTATGTCGTGTATCGTGGGTGACAAAAACCTGCCAAAAATCGCAAATGCGCGGAAACATACGCACACACATCACGCAACACCCACCGTCCCCTTGTTGGCGTATGTATGGACTAGTAGTCTACACACACATACACGCGGTGCCTACATAACGGATAGTCTACAATATAAGTCTCGATAGGATCGGCTCGTATGCTGGAGTATGTAGCAGACTATTTCACGAGAAAACGTCCGAATTGCATGCTGCTCAACGAAGTATGTAGGGCCAAGGCCATGTAACAACTGTACATACTCAAACCTTGAGACAGCGCTTGTAGTACATTTCTGACATTCTCATGCAAGGTGACTCAAGCACGTGAGCCGCACACATCTTGTAGGGTTTCCCACTGCGCTCTTCATTTTGATTGAGCTCCCAAGCCTTTGGTGAAGGGGAAGTGGCATTGGTTGTGGTCACGATCAGGATACGCGCGATTTAAATGGAAGAAAACAAAAGAGGATGATAGAACACCTACGTATGATAAGACTAGGCCAAAGACTATGTATGCGTCGGAGTACTAATGGGAATGGTCGCTCTCGCCAGAACCAATCAAATCGAATCGCGAGCGCTGTCGAGGAGGTGGGCTGTAGACTTGCACGTCTCAACGGGGTGAAAAACGACGGACACATTTTCGGATCACACTTTCGGATCGGATCGGATTTCGGATCCCACTCGGATATGATGTGATTGTTGTAGTTGTACTTGTACGGGGTGACGCCCAACATACGCCTGCTGCTGACCGTCGCATCACACCACACCACTTTGCATGAAACCCCCCCCCACCCCCACGGCGCTGAGCCACAGCAGCAGCAGCACCTCTGCAGAACAAGACACACAACATGCACCGCCAAACAAAAGCACTACTCGCGCAAGCGCGAATTTCATCCGTCACACCGCACCACACAACTCCGAAAAAAACGCCTCTCTCCCCTTGAGGCTGCGGCGCAGCAGCAGCACCTCTGCAGAACAAGACACACAACATGCACCGCCAAACAAAAGCACCACTCGCGCCAGGCGAATTTCATCCGTCGCACCGCACCACACAACTCCTAAGAATACGCCTCTCCCCCCTTGAGGCTGCGGCTCAGCAGCAGCAATAGATCTGCAACGCAAGACAAAAAACATGCACCGCTAAACAAAAGCACCACGGTCCGCCAATGGCAACTTGTTTTCGTTGCATCAACCGATGTTGATGGGAGCTGCCGGCGCACCCTGCGACATCGCGCCCTGCGACAGCGCGCCCGATCCCTGCGACAGCCCGCCGGCGCTCGGCGTCGCGCCGGGGAGTTCGGACATCCGCACGTTGTTCGCGGCAGAGGCAGCCTTTTCGCCCTTTGACGGGATCCTTCTTCCTGGGGGAGGCCCTTTCTTGGGGCGACCGGACTGACCCTCGACAGGGGGGGGCGGGAGTAGAGAGGGGTCCTCGTCGATCATCTCCAGCACGGGCAGCACCAGGACGCAGCTGGGGTCCTCGTAAGGCTGGCGGTAGNCCGCACGTTGTTCGCGGCAGAGGCAGCCTTTTCGCCCTTTGACGGGATCTTTCTTCCTGGGGGAAGCCCTTTCTTGGGGCGACCGGACTGACCCTCGACAGGGGGGGGCGGGAGTAGAGAGGGGTCCTCGTCGATCATCTCCAGCACGGGCAGCACCAGGACGCAGCTGGGGTCCTCGTAAGGCTG